TGAGTGTTACACTCGACAAAGAGGCATTTTGCCGAGTGCTAGAGTAAAAACACTCGATAAAGAGGACACGTGGCCAAAATCTGTGCATTCTGGGACTAATGGCTTCTTTGCCGAGTGTCTGCGCTGTGACACTCGGCAGATAAGCCAACATTTATACGTTCTAGGCCAGTCTTTACCGAGTGCCCAGTATTCGACGCTCGACAAAGATTACAGGTTTGCCGAGGGCCTGGGATTTGACACTCGGTAAAGAAGGCATGTTTGTCGAGTGTCACATACTGGACACTCGGCAAATAAGCCAACATTTGTACGTTCTGGGCCAGTCTTTGCCGAGTGTCCAGTATTTGACACTCGGCAAAGAATTCAGGTTTGCCGAGTGCCCGGGATTTGACACTCGACAAAGATGGCAGGTTTGCCGAGTGTCAGGTCCGAGACACTCGGCAAACGCGCCATGACTGTCTCCGCGCCGTCGCGTTACTTTTTTTCGCCGAGCATCGGTTTTAGCTCTCGGCAATGTATTTGTCGAGTGCCCGATAAAAAACACTCAGCAAATAGACGTTTGCTGGCACTGTAGATGCCGTGTGCTGTTTGTCGAGTGTTACACTCGGCAAATCCTTTTTACCGAATGTTTTGTGGGTTTTGCCGAGTGCCTGTGCCACACGGCAAAGCCACTGTTTCCTGTAGTGAAAGAGCCTCGTGAAGTTGCTCTAGGAGCATCTTCAGGAGTCTTTCTTAAATTCACCCTTCTGATGAAACATTTGAAGAGTCATTTAAATAAAAATCGCTCTCTTATATCTTTTGACCCTTCCACAACTTTTCTATATCTTGTGCAAGTGCAATATTTTTTCTGTGTCTCTCCAGCTTTAGCAAGCTAGAAATCCGAAATATAGGATGATAATATTTAAAGATCTAATTAAAAAGTCATTGGAGAATATATTTTTTTTACCAAAATCTTTATTTTATCGATAGGAGGATATAAAGAAGCTGTCGCTACATCTCGGCCGATGCATGGACGCGCGCACAGAATTTAGATTTGCCTTGGTCATGATGATGAAAATGTCTCGTTGAGCTTTGCACCGAGGATCGTTAATTTCTGTGTAACCAAGACACACGAGTTTCGAGTTGCCGCACGTTTGCGAAGTTGCCATCGATCTGTAGCTTAGCTGTCGTTTGACTTGAGATGTCGTCGCCGTTTATCACGTATACCGCCGCACGCGGAAAGCTACACTGAAGGAACTTTTTTTTGTGGGTTCAACGAGAACTCGATCTATTGAGTAGCATGATTTGACACTGGACAATGCATGGCTTGAGTTTTATTATGATACAAGCCAATGACATGGCAGATCTAGCAAACCCACAAACCCAGACACAGACAGCATCTCGATGCACTAATAAGGCCAGGCTCATGCATACGTCCGAAATTGAAGTCTACGTGCTGCACGCCTGGCTGGTCAGTGATCACATCGTGTAGAGACGACTTCCACCTGCAAGTCAGCGGCTACGTACTGTAAATACATTTCCGGCCGGGAAATGCACGCCATCATAGACGGCCTTATTATTATTATATTATTTTTACGAGGACATAGAACGACCTTAATAGCTTATACATGGTTGACAATTAACCACATGAACGGACATCGGACAGATAGCCAGGAGATGCAGCTGTCAACCTTTTTGCAGCTACTCCTAATAACTCGTGTCTTTGTTAAAACCAAGAACAAGAAGTGCTAGACGATGTAAGGTATGGGGACGACATCTTAGAACTGTCATGCCGAGGAGAAGAATGCGGCTTCTCACTTGTCATTTTTTTTAAAGATATGGACAAAAACATGACGGGCATATATTAATAGAGAAGGAGCCAATTACAAACAAAAGAAAATACAAGAAAACCTCAACATTCACGAAGGTGACAACAAAAGACCCCCACCAAAATACTTCTCACTTGTCATGACTCTTAGGCAAATTTCTGAAATAAATAGGAGGAATGGACACAACGTTCCTACCATGGGAACTTCTGCAGGAGCAAGGTGTGACCATTTCTTTTTTTCCCCCTTTGTTTTTCTATCCATGTCAGATAATATAAAAGAAAATTCTCAGATCGCCGGGCTACAGATTTTGTAGGCCGGCTAGCATCTTGGAACTGTCCGTTCTTTTTTATTTTTTTGGATCTTCATGTTTCTTTGTCATTTCTAGGGAAACTACAAGCAGACCATTGCGTGGGCACATGCCTCAACAACTCCATTCTTAGATATTCGTTACACAATGTCCCTCGTGAAAATCAGCTGCATGCTGATTAACAATGCAGGGATTAAATCAGAAGTTCAAAGAATGAAGCCAGCAAATTAGAAATTAGATTAGCAGATGAGAATATTGTACTTGCCAGTGAGGCAGCTTGTTAGCAAGTCGAAGGTGAATACAATGGTGGGCATGACTGAATTTCGGTCCTTATGTTCAGGGAAAAAATGACACAAATTTTAAGCTATAAGCATGCGCCATTAGCTAGCTAGATGTGGCATCACTTAAATGATTTTGTTTCAAAGACTACGACAAAGGAGTCTTACTTCTGCACAAACTATGTAAAAGTCCATCAATTGATTTACTTAGAAATATGAGGATACATGTCTCTCAGCTCATCAAACTTATTGAGTAGAATCAAATAGAAATGTCATCAAAGCTTCTAAGTTTAGAATGAGTTGAAGGTATTTGATTTTAAGAAGATGAAATGTTAAGATTATTTATTGCACAAAAAATAAAATGTTCTTAGTACAATAATATTTTAAAATAATTGTTTTATTTTCAATTTTGTATTGCCCATGACGAGCCCATGCAGACCGTGGTTCCATACAAGCATAAAGGTCTATACTCTGCACTCTCTTTTGCCATCATCGAATCCCGATGTGGCAATGCGCGTTGGCTTGGGTGTCTGTTGACCTCAGCTGTGGTCACTGCTCGGCCAACACTAGGTGGTCGGAAACTATTCGTTCCTATCCCAACATATGGGTATGATTGATCTCGGCAGAAATTATTTTGTTCCTATTGCAACGTACAGTTATGATTGACCTCACATGTGGCCATTGTTCGGCCAATTTTATTCTAGTATAACGCACGGGCGTGATCCTAGTGTCTGTAAATAGGAGTAACCCAGTGCTCCTGAGTCTTATTACCACAGAACATCCAAGTCTGTACTACACAAACCCCTAAACCGATCACAATGCCTCGCTCATCCGCAGTTGTGACCCTAGTCCTCATCATGCTGTGTGTGTTGAGCTACCTGCGTTGGGGCTGCCCCCCCCCCCACGCCGGTATCGACACCACCGTTGCGAGATCACTGACGGGTGGTCTCCCAGCTAGTGCTAGCGTTCCGTCGTCGTCGCCGCCGCCCCTTCCAGCTAGTAGCATTCCACTGTTGCTGGCACCCTCAGCGGTGGTCTCCCAGCGACCATCGTCGTTCTGCCACCGGCAGTCGGCGCCCCTCCCAGCTGGTAGCATTCCACCGCCATCGGCATCCCCAGCGGTTGGTTTCCTAGCTAGCGTTCTGCGGCCGTCGCCGCCCCTCCTAGCTAGTAGCGTTCCACCGCCGCCGGCGCGCCCCCCCGAGAATGGTCAAGTAGGGGCATGTGACCCTAAGGGCAAATTTAACTTTCCGTGAGAAATGCCGGTTGCGGTACTACAGGGTTGGCTCGATGGCGGGATCAAGGTTAGTTTCTTCCTAGAGGAAAGGCTTAAATATCAATCGTAATTTGTGTTCACTGTTTCCTTTGTGCACTTAAAATCTCATCTTCGAAAAATCTTTTTTTGGCAACATGCGCTAAACATTGAAAACAGCAGTCACAAGAGATATATAACATCATATCAACAAAAGGACGTCCATTTTATTATGTTTGCAACCTCAACATCAAGCCACCAACATAAAACATTGAACATTTTCTACAAACACACATTAACACCCCCTTTCGCGCCTCGCGTTCCCTCGCAAGCTAGTCTCACCTTCTATGCTGCAACGATGACAGCCCCAAGATCATCCGCTAGGTCAGCCACGGGCACCATCGCGGCCCTGGCCGCGTCGATTGCCCCGGCGTCGTCGGCCGCGGCGTTGCTCCATTCAAACTCTCACGAGGCAAAACATTTCCTACTGAGCTATTATTTCCGGTATTTTTTGCCCATTAATTAATCTGCATTAATTAATTGTCTTCAAATCGCACCAAGTGCTCTGGTACAACCAACAGGAGAATGTATGTAGCTCCGATTTCAACAAAACAACAATTTTCACTGATGATATAATTTCTGACCATATCAGTTTGGCAAAACAGTCACTCACAACTTTCAACAGAAGAATGTATTATTGAAGCCTTTCGTCCAAATACTCTTGGTGTGCGCGCCCGAGATCCGTGCCCGATCCCTTCCAAACTCCAACTCTGATAGGAGTCTCCGAGTCAGCGCCTCAGCGGTATGGTACGGTGCGTCGTGGAATACTACGAGTCCACGGGCTCCTGCGCATGCTCTTCAGTAGCGGGTACACGTCGACCGCCAGTCCGCCACTCACTTCGGCTGGACGCTCCTCCAGCACGCCATCCTCTTCCTCTGTGGCAGGCTGGCAGCGCCGGTGCCGTCCAGACCTTGCTGGCGTCCGGTGCATACTCTGAAGCTTCTGTGAAGACGTCCAGGACCAACAGGTCCAGGCCAGTTCACCTGGCCGCGCGCGTGCCTCGTGCAGCCAGAGATCCTGCGGATGCTGGTTGACAGGGGCTGCGACGTGAACGCGAGGGCGGAGGCCGGCGACACCGCTGCCATCCTCTGCCTTATGGTTCTCGTGTCCGCTGGCACAGACGTCGTCCTGCTAAACTCCACGGCCTCCGTCGCTTCCTCCGGGGGATGGAAGATCGGCTTCGAACGGGCTGTTCTTGGTACGATTCAGACCGGGACCATCCCACCCTCGAGCGAGTGGAACGTGTTCTCCCAGCGCTGATGTTCGGTTCGGCACGCTGTGCGGGGACACGACCGCGATGGAAGTGCTGCTCGCTCAGTCAGACGTTGACGACGTGGACGAGCAGGATTTGGATGGGTGCTCGCCCCATATAGCTGCTGCCAAGATGGGCAACGTCGAGGCCTTCCACGCCTCGTATTTGCTGGCGCCAACGTACGTGAAGCTGAGCAACAAGCCAGGCGAGACGGCCATGGGACTGGCGCAGCAGAGCAAGAAGAGAGACCTCTTCGAGCAGTTCATGCTCGAGTTTGCGCTGCAGAAGGGCATGCCTGGAGGCTTCTACGCGCTTCACTGTGCCTCCCGGCGGTGTGACACCGCGGCGGCGCCACACCTCGCCAGCATGATTTGTCGGAATATATACTATAGCGCTCTACAACACTTTAAATAAATTTTGAGCCGGGATGACTGACAAAATAATGTTATTTCATTATTAGGAATGATAACACAGCGAGAAGTACAAAATATACGGATATGATGTTTACCGCGCAATCTATAAAACACCAAAAATAAAAGAACTCTCTTATTACTAACAGCAATAGAAAATGGAAAACTGATTGGAATATATATCCTTTCTAGACACTATTATGGATTGTCTGAAAAAAAATAACGAGATGAACTTGAACTTCTCCGGAGCTAAGGCTCTGTTTAGATCAACTCATTTTTTATAAGCTGTAATAGCGGGATGCTAACAGCTCTTTATAATTTGGACGATTAAAGAAAATAGGCTATTTGCTAAACTATAAGCTAGACTGTATGTATCGACTATAACTTTTTTTAGCAGCTAGCAACTTATTTTAATCAATGTAAAATATGACGTAAACAGAAAAAAATGGACCGTCTTATATTCTTTTTATCTCCTGACAAGTGATGATATTATATGGTTGCATGCATGCAAGGTTTCATAGCTGCATGCATGCGGCTTGTTTGCATGGTCCTCCAGATCAGTACATGGGAGTGAAGGACAAGAGCTTCCACGACGTCGTGCCGAGGATGCCCCAGACGAAGGCTTCATACTGCGTATACTTGCCACCAGATACCGTGACGACCAGCCGGTAGTTGTACCCGCCGTTAGATGGCTGGGTCTCGCCGCTGATGACGTTCAGGAGCTGCATGTTGAGTTCCCTCGAGCTTATCGCGTCAATGCGCACGGCAAACTGTGCTACCTGCTGGATCTTCGGGTCGTTCACGTTCGCCACGGTCGTCCAGTTAGACGCCGGTGGTGGCGGAGGAGGAGACGCCGGCGGCGGTGGCGAAGGAGGGGGCGGCGGGGAATACGCCGGCGGTGGAGGTGAAGGAGAGGGCGGGGAAGACGCCGGCGGCAGTGGCGAAGGAGGGGGCGGGGATGACGCCGCTGGTGGAGGTTGCGAAGCAGGAGGGGGCGCGGTTGATGACTCCGGCGGCGGTGGAGGTGGAGGAGATGGGCTGTCCTGTAGTGGGCTCGGCGTTGGCGCTGTGTAGTTTTGGGCAGTGGCAGTGGCAAGCAAGGTGGCGAGCACGAGAGGAAGGACGACAAGAACCGAGGGCCTGGCCATGGCGATGGTTAGACAAGCTCCGCAACCGGCCTCTTGGTATGTAAAACGTGTTGGTGTGTTCGTGAAAACTGCACAGCGCGCGCTACTGAATGCTAAAGCGTGTGCTTGTGAGTGGAGCTATGGTATGTGGGAGGTGCAGTGGTGCAGGAAAGCTGTGGCCCGTATGGTATATTTGTAGTGTAGCTAGAGGCAGCTAGCTAGTCCTACTGGTGACCGGCCCGGCCGTCTGCCAAAGTCAGCTGGGGCATTGGCAGTTTGGCAGGATAACGTAGGTCTAGTGGAGTAGCAGTACACTCCAGCAAAGAGAGTAGTACATGCATGCAGCTAGCGTCGCGTCTACCAGCTGTATTGGGCAACAAATTAAATCGCGGTTGACTTAGATTCATTCTTTCACGAATATACATTTTTGCATATCTAAAAATACATTTGTTTTTGCAGGGATCTGTTTCGAGCGAGAGAAATAGAGAAAAACATTAATTTGGAGTTATCCATTTGAAATGCCAACTCACTCCTAAAAGTGATGGTTGTCCTATGGGAAACCAATTTGGATTTATCCATTTGAAAAGGTTTAAGAATTGAAGGAAGCTCGGTCAAGCATTGTTATACTAATCGGAGCTCTCTGGTGGTCACCGGAGAGGTGCCGCTGGAGTTTAGGATGAGAGGTTTGGATCGGTCCAATTGTCTCTGCACTATTGACAGAGGCACCGGAAAGGTCCGGCGGTCACTGGAGTTCAGGCCCCGAAGCTTAGATTGCACCGCCTGGCTGGTTTTTGAAAGTGGGAACTATCATTGCGGTCCTAACCAGAGTGCAGGCATCGGAGCTTGGGTGGGACACGTGTCAGAGATCTACAACGCGTGAGAGTTTTCAAAATGCCACACTGGAGTTCTCCGATGAGGAGTACCAGAGGGTAACGGTGCCCTAAAAACCTTTTGTGTGGAACTCTTTGGAGTAGTGCATCGTGAATATCCTGTGGTGGCACCGAAGTGCTCACCAGATCGAGTGACACCTAGCCCCGCTGCATCCAAGACACTATGTGAGCTGGATTTGGGCGACCGGGCCGCAGATCTCTACCCTAGGCCCTACTTATAGTATCAAAAGAATTCATAACCTCTTCAAATAATAAAGTCTAAGACTATCTCCAACAACTGCGACCCAAAATACAAGACCTATTTGTCCTTTGGGTAGCGCTACCAGGCAAAGGGTGGTTCAATACCTATTTTTGGTCTTCTCCAACAAGAAGACCTAAAAGACAACCCTTTCTGCAAATGGGTCTCCAGGAGAGAGGATACTCAGATTTGGTTTATGCCTCTTCTGGCACCCAAAATGGGTCTTACATATAGGTACTCTGTTGGAGATTATACGTATTGTGTTGGAGACTGTCGATGTTTTACCACCGATAGCCTGCCACGGGGGTACCCGGGACAGTTGTTCGGGCTTCGGCGAATAGTGGAACTCGGCGGTTATGCAAAGAGACTCACGATTTATACTGGTTCAGGCCCTCGACTTGGTCGAGTAATAACCTTACGTCCAGTTCGGCGTTAGCCTGTTTGCGTCGTATTGCTTTGAGTATTGGGTATGTTCAGTTGTTTACAAGGGATATCCTCACCAGCCCTTTCTAATCCAGGTGCTGAGAGGAGTTATTTGTGTTCTACTTAGATACAAGGTCAGAGTCCTAAGCTATGCTTCGGGCGCCTTTCCTTGTATAGTCTGAATTGGAGTTTTGGTCTTGCACGTTGCTTTGCTCAGTGTTCCTCTTGGCGATTGGGCTGTGGGCCTTGTTACCAAGGTCCACTTCCCTATAGTACGGTCTATGGGGGGCCCGTAGGGTTCCCCATCGATAAGCCCCTGAGCATTTCATGATTGAGCTTCAAGGGCCGAGTTGTTGTAGACTTGATCCAGGTTCTTCTTGAAGTGAAATCTTGAGATGGTCTTCTTTTGGTTGGTTCGTCATGACTGATGTGCACTTTTTTTTTCTAAAAAAGTGCACTCAATGAGTGTAGCCCCCGAGCCTCTTGCTTGTTGGGACAAGAAGCCAGAGGGTCCCTTTAGTCTTCTTGGTTGCTCCGAGTTCTTTTTCGGTGGGTGCAATTTTTCGTAAAAATTGCACTCACTGAGTGTAGCCCCCGAGCCTCTTGCTTTTGCTTGCAAAAGTTGGAGGGTCTAGATTCTTGTCTTCAAAATTTTTTGGGGTTATGTATCCCGCAGCCCCCGAGCCTTCTCCGAGTTCTTTTCTTTCGAAAAGAAATCGGATGAAGGGTCTTGATGTGTTGTCGTTTGTTGTAGTCTTGAGTTTTTGTATTCTTGGTCCTTCGTCTTTAAATCCGAGCCCCCGGGCGTAGTTGAAGCGAATGCCGAGGCCCCGAGCTTAGTGTTTGACTAACTTCATCCAGGTTCTTTCTGAACTTGTATGTACCTCATCCAGGTTGTTTTCTGATCACTACAGGTTCTTTTTTGTCTTGATTTATGTTCCCAACTTGTCTGGGTTGTTTTTCTTCAATATGGGTTCTTTCTGATCTTGACTTGATCTCTGTCTCTCCTTGTTGGGATTCTTTTCTGATCAATCCGGGTTCTTTCTAAGCTTGTCTTGGTTCTTGCCACACCTTGTCGGGGTTCTTTTTTTATCAATCTGGGTTCTTTCTAAGCTTGTCTTGGTTCTTGCCGTACCTCATCGGGGTTCTTTTTTGATCAAACCAGGTTGTTTCTTGACTTATCTGAGTAAAGTAGCTCTCAGGAGCGTGTTTTTCCTGATCTCATGGTACAGATGTAGCTTTCGTCTGAGAATAATGCTGAATCTGTAAGTACCCTTGCTGATTCAAAACTGCAAGAGGCTCAAGATTTATTTGCTCAGGCGAAATTGATGAGAGCTGGAACTGATCGTGATCTTGTTCAGGCCATAAAATCAGTTCGAGATCTGCAGGCGAAGTTGAAGGCTACCCATGAGCAATTCCGAGCTCTTTATGCTGCAGTCGCTCCAATCATTGCTTCAGTCTATCGAAGAGAAGACAGAGATCTGGGCCTTGGAGGCATAATACCGGTGCTTTCTTCCCGGTTTTATGATTTTGTAAGGGGTGGCTTTCACCAATGCTTCAACAATGTGGTTTCATATGTCCGGGTTGTTGCTCCTGATGCCCCTCTTGAGCGGATTACTGAAGCTTCTATAACGGCTGAGTTTTCAAGACAGTGGGAGGAGGCCAAAATAGAGCTTAGTGGTCTATCAGACCAAATCTTGGAACATATGAATGTGCTTCCTGCTGTGCCTCCAGCTCCTTAGACTTTTTGTGTAATGAACTTATGGTTTCTTGTAATATATACTTGTTTCTGTGAATATGATCAGGCTTTGCCCTGCTTTTGAATATGTCTTTGACTGCTATGAGCAAGCTTTGACCTGTCTTTCTTTTACTGCATTTGTGTAATTTCTGAGTAGTCCTTCCACTTTGTGTGACTGGTTTTGTCGCTCTTCGGATAACAATAATCGACTGCATGTTGATATCTGGTTTGTAGAGTTGTTTTTGCCGCTCTTTTGGGCGTAGGAGTTGATCATACTGCTTCTTGAGTAGATAGCCGTCCTTGTAGGGTTGTTTTCTGCCGCTTTTGGGGCGAATTGGTAGGCCATACTTGCCAGATCATAGAGTTGTTTCGGCTGCTCTTGGGCCGAGGTAGTTGGTCATGCTGTTCTTGGAATATCTAGCCGAGTTGTAGACTCGTAAACGCCACTTGCTTGGTGATTTAATCAGCTGTACTGCTCTTGGAGTATGTAGCCGAGTTATAGAATTGCTTGTGCCGCTCTTTGGGGCGAAGAAATCAGCCATACTGCTTTTGAAGTAGATAATCGACTTGTAGAATTACTACTGCTCT